TTTGACACTGGCAACACCCAGAGAAGAATTTAAGAGCCACATTAAGATTAAAAAAAGTAAAATAAATGAGGTTAAACGAACAAAACCACAGGGAGGAATACATTAAAATGTGTATACACAGACAAAGACAATCCAGACACCTCCTTGAGCAAACAGCAAAAGATCAACAGCTATTCCCAGCTGTTGATCTTTTGCTGTTTGCTCATGGACATCAAATACAGCACAGTGCTGTACATGTACTGGGTCTCAAAAATGTTTTTAAAAAGGCAATTATGATTGGATGTGGGTGGTATTGCAGTATGATTTTCAATACACTCTCTGTTTAGCTAGTAAGAAGATGATGTATTTTGGTCTTCTGTGCTGTTGCACTGTGTTAAAATGCCACCAATGTGCAGTGTCTCCTGATCCACAATAAGTAATTTATTAAGAACGTTTCATTTATATAGCACCTTTTAAGATGAAAATCACAATGTGGTTCATATCAAACACAGACAATTAAAAACGAAACAGACGATAAGACAAAATAAAATACTAAGGCCCAGTTAGCTTTTTAAATGAGGAATTTTTATGGCTGGACACAAACCCTGATCAGAACATCTGAGAGTCCTACTGGTGACACATAGCTGCAAAGGTTCACTGATATATTTCGGTGCTAAAGGTGAACTTTGCATTGAATTCTAAATTTAATAGGGAGTGAGTGCATTGAGATCAGCAGCTGTGTGAGATGAGCAACGTTGGGGGATCTGGTAAGCCTACCAGCAGCAATCTGTGGAAGATATAGATGGTCCAAGGAGGTTTTACTGAGGCAGACGAAGAGTAAATTACAATAGTCCAAAGATGAGATAAAAGCATGAACAGCAACTAATATTTCTCAGCTGATGAAAACAAGAACAAACTAAACCTTAAACACGCAAATCCAACAGAGTGCCAAGCTCAGCGAGCTGTGCAACATAACAACAGTGAACAGAAAACAAAGTAACCAGTAAACTGTTCGTGAGTATTTTGGGTTTAGTCCCACTGATCAAAGATGACACAGCCAACATTATTAACAAAGAACTGTTTGCCCCTAGAAAGTTGTGCTTGAGGAAAATAATCAACCAGTCTCTTACTATCATTCCTTGAAGGAAGCCATCCTTGCGCCACCTATTTAAGTGGGTAATGCATTGCCTGAGTCTAATAGTTACACATCCAATCATTTGTTCTAACTTTCAACCTCCTTATTTACAACATCCACTACAGGTATTAGAGCTGTTGGCAAGGCCACACAGACTGCAGCCCCTTGTAGTTGTCCAGTGCTATTGCTATTTGTGGTGACACCTAGCGAAGGTAGCAAAGTGTAATCATTCAGTCAATCAAATGCTGCCAGTACAACTGCTGCTATCTACCAGATACACTGATGTAAAAGTCAGTATGTGATGGACACATGAGAAACAAAATATGCTGCCAAACCGTGGTCACCATTGTTCAAAGCATTAGAGGCTCTTTTTTAACTCATATACGAGGTTTTATAAGGCCCACATGTCTTTTAGAAATAGTCATGGTGTATTTATTTCAAACAACTGAATTTCTTCATCTCCAACACTGAGCATCATGTTTTAATTAGTCACAGCTATTATTTGGGACTTACATTATTTTTATGAGAGTTGAAGCCCTTAAAATATCTTCAATCCTCCATTAGTACAAGATGCAAAAACTGCCAACAGCTTAGAAGTAATTTCTAAGATATCACTACTTTTTTTTCTCATGACTGTCCAGATGTTATAAACTCAATAATAAATCCCAACTCAGCGCGCTGGTGACAGCAGCTGTTCTTGGTAAAAGTTTCTGGAGACTATTGAACTAACAGGCAGCGTCTGGACAGCATTTGGCCTGTGACCATACTGTGGTCAGCAGTGGATCACACAGCCCACTCCTGGCTAAGCTCTTCTCCCTCAGGCGATGACATCCGCCGCTCCAAACTGCGTTACCGTGGTGATGCACAAACAACAGCAAATACAAGTCAGCGGCTTCAATGGCCTCTTACCCCTGTCAACATTAGTCATGGTTTTCAGATGAAAACACTCCCTGTTGCTCTTGATGTGGAGCTGCTCTTTCAAACAGCTGTCCCCATCACTACAGTTTTAGACCTTTCCAGTAGAGAACTCAAACACACTGGTCTGCATGTCATGTCTTGGAGTTTGGTATCTGCAGGCTTAATCAGTAAGGTTAAATATACGCGGCACAACAGTTTTTAAACATGTAGAGCAAGAAACAGACGACCCTTTTGAAAATTTTATATAGATTTTCTATGTTGGCGATCATCTGTTCACTCACACGTGTGTGCTGGCCAAGAGGTTGACAGCTCACCTAGACACAACTCAACTTTATGTCTCCTTTCCAGTGCCACCTACGCGGCTTGGCTCGACTTTACTCTGTTTTGGTGATTTTTGATTAAAATTTAGCACCACCTCAATGTGGGTGTGGTCATTGGTGCCGCACAGCAGCACAGAAGTCCCGTAACATCATTTGCATGCAATGCAAACAGTTGGAACCCTGGCCTCCTGCTACTACCACCTAATGGAAAAACAGAGTCAAGCAAAGCCAAGTCTGTGCTAGTGGAAAAGAAGGCTTTGGAGAGAGTAACAATTTTTGGGAACTTTTTATTATACTTGTAATCATGTAACAAGTTATTTCAGCTTGAGTGGAGATACAGAACAGCCTGCCTCCACAAATTTCTTTAAAGACTGCAGTTCAAATATTAGTTAAACTTTTAAATTTCTGCTACATTTAGCATCACGCAATGCTGTAGTTATCTACAAACTGTGCTAACATCCACTTGGAAGAATGCCAAGACTCACCTTTGAGTCAATCTCTGTCTAGTTGCTTACTTTACACATGATGCACATGATTTAAAGCTGTTTGTCTGGTTCAGAACGCACACACTTCTAGTCTGAATTTCACCGAACATGTAAGGTGTCAAACCACTGTCATAGCCACTATTAACCCAGCTAAATGAAGCTAAACTAAGTTGACTCGCTATTCATGCACTTAATTCTTTTAGTTGTCTTTATTTGATGAGACTTACAATGCTCCTCAAAGAGCCCCTCCCACTGCTGAAAGTGACGGCCAGCATGGATGCGCACTCCTCAGCATAGAATGGCATCTTGCCTTTCTCGTCGACCGCTCCTGCATCAAACAAACACAGAAACTACTTGCATGCGCCACACATACTGCACAAATAAACCTGCAGAAACAGGGCGGGCACAGGCACGCCTAAGAATGTCCGGTTCTTACCGATTGTAATGGTGTAGATCGAGTTGGCGTACCCGTCGTAGTTGCAGTTGTCGTTGTACTGACCACCGTTACCGCTGGCAACTATAAAGATGCTCCCGAATCCTCGTCTGCCTGCAATCACCCCGTGCTGCAGAGCTGCCTGTGGAACAGGGACAACAAACAAGTCATTAGCATAAAAACAAAAAAAAACAACAAAAACATGAAGTGAAAATCTGCAGTGGTCTTCTACATGTCCAAGCTGCTGAGCTGTTGTGTTTTACTGCCCTCTGCTGGACAAAGAGTTCTGTGAATAGATGATCCCACCTTGCCCAGAGGATGAGGTCCATCCACAGTATGCCCATCATCATCTGGACCCCAACTAAAAAACACACAACGAGCAACATCAGCAAGAACATGAGAACCTTCATTAATATGATATTACAGCATATTAAAACACCGCTTAATTACACAGGAAACACAGTCGGACCTGCAGCTGTAGATGTCATTAACTTGGTAGTGTTTGTTAAAGGCTATAGCCTCCAGGCTGTCTGTCAGCGGGCCATCGAGCACTCTAATACCTTAGAAGCAAGCAACAAGTCACAAATGAGATAAATTCAGAATTAACTCTGTCATCTTCAGATTTTAACAACGGAAAAAAAAACAACAAGATTTTCCGGTTTGTACCTGCTACTTTGCTGCCATAGGCCACTCCCACTGCGCAGAAGCTGTTGTTGGAAACAGCTGCAATCTCCCCAGCGCACCGAGTACCGTGGTGGTTGTCGCTGTGAATGTCAGGGTGAGGCATGGGGTCTGGGTCATTTGAGTTAAGGTCGTAGCTGCCTTCTGGACTCTAAGGAGGACATAAAATCAGTTTTTAAACATTACTAGAATCGTTAATAAGACAATCAAGAAAACTATTACAACTAGAACTTCTTATTATCCAATTCACTTTGATGTTCTCTTCACTGTGTGATCACCTTTCTACTAGTGCGGACTGTAAGTCTGTCTACACTGTAAAAAACAAAACAAAACAAAAAAACTGCTTCCCTTCTGCTGACAGCGACATTCTCTCTACTTTATAACTTGCCTCTGATCTACAACATGCTGTTTAAAGTTAAATCTGCCACAGTAGTTCCTCCACAGCAAGATGATTCTTGTCTGGCCTGCAGTTGCTAAACTATAATACAAAAGCCCACTGGCAGAATTGACTAAAAAAAAAAGTATCGATTACAGTGATTCAACACTGGATTCCCTACAAAACAAATAAATCCATGCCAGTTCCCATTGTTAAGCAATAGGAATAAATCAAAAAATTGCTTAGACAGTTTTGACTTACATAATTTGGCTGAATATCTTGGTGGGTGTGCTCCACCCCGTCATCAACAACCACCACTGTGACTCCCTGGCCGGTAATGTTACGCTCCCACACTCCTGTCACGTTGATGTCCATGCCCTTACTGACATCATTGTGCTGCAAAAACAGGCAGAGTAAAAAAAGGATGAGAGGAAGAGGTGGAAATAGAAATGTCAAGGTAAATCAAAACGAGAACAAAAATCAAAACAAGAGAACAGAAGGAGAAAAGGTGAAGTGGTGTATCTGGCAGTATGGGTCTTATTGTACAACAAGCATTTCTGTGAAGCCAATCAGAGCTTTGAAATCCACTATGGCTGTTTTGTGTTTTTGTACCCACATATTGGACAGCTGTGAAAAACAAAGTAATAAGCTTATAAATCAGGAAACTATAAAAGAGGCGCAAGCTCAAAGGTTACAATCAACTGAGAGGCAGTATTTAGCTTTTCACTTTGCACTTCATTCTCACTTTAGGCAACAATTTACTTTCCTTCTCTCTCCTTGGTAAGCTGTCTGATATTGCTCCGTAGCATTTGGCATAACCGTTAAAAATAACACCAAATGTCATGTCGCACACAGATTGTTACATTGATTCACACTTAAATTGCCTGGCTTAAATTCCATTCTGATTGAGTTGTTAAAATAGAATTTAGAGCAAAAAGTGCTTTTTAATTAAGATATGAATTGATTGTCAGCCTCTGAATTAGTTAAAAATGTTGATGCCACATTTCATCATAAAGACAGTCAGAGTCAGTCATATGCATCCTCACCAGGTGCCACTGTTTGGGGTAGTTGGGGTCGTTGAAGGCCATCGATCTCTTTGAGCGGCTGAGCACTCTCTCCTGAGAGTACCACATAACATGAGGGTGTCCTGCTAAAACATCCTCAGGCCGGAGAGCTTGTCTCTTGATGCGTCCTACAGACCCAGCACCGGGCTTTGTAGAGCACAGCAAGTAGTGGCCTTCCAGGTGTCCTATCTGGCCATGGTTGTGCAGCCCAGCCTGCTCCGCTACCTGTGACAAGAGAGAACACAGATGACGACTGAAAAAATTAAACTAGGACAATGCATCTAAACATGGCCACCTTCATGTAAGACTAATGTAAGGCACTGCTGGTCCAGAGAAACCTTTTTATAGATCCTATAACATTTGGAGGAAGTCCAAATTGTGTGTGTGTGTGTGTGTGTGTGTGTGTGTGTGTGTGTGTGTGTGTGTGTGTGTGTGTGTGTGTGTGTATCCAAACTGAAGGAACTGTCAAAGTTGGCAGGTGCTAACTGACATAGCATGAGAAGATCATGAAAGCGAATCACTATTGGTATGATTTACTGGAATATAACTCCAACAGGCTGCCATGTGCTCTTAATGTGGGTAGGTATGATTGGTTAGTGGGGTTTTGGAGGTAATCAGGAGCAGCACCAGGAACTGCAGGAAGCCTCGGTGTAAGATTAGCAGCTCTCTGTATACAGTACTTAACATGTAAGTAATGAGTCACTTGTGATGTTATGTTATGCATCTTAAAAGTGAACAAAATCACATCTCTAATTTTCAACTACAGCATTATCATGAAATTCCTGACACTCAGTAAACACATGTTCCAAATCACAGCGTCCTCCAACTCATTCTTGTGTTTGTAGCTTAGTTGTTGTTATGCCAACAGCTGGCTGGCTGTTGAATATGTTGCTCAGAAATGCAATCAGTTGTGTGAATGGAAAAAAAAGAAGAAAAGGAAAACGTAAAAGATCTAACAGTATGCAGTTCTGTGGGAAGTATCGTAGTGAGAAGGCTTCACAGAACTGTTTGGTCCTAAAGCATTTTTACAGCAAACCTGTAAAACAAACCCTGTCAAATCACTACATAGATAAGAGACCATGGGATAAAAAGAGAATACGAACAGGGAGCAAAAAACAAACAACTGAAAGGTTTGGTGAAATGAAAAGCTAATGAATGTGAATGTGTTAAGTCCGAATGCAAGTGTACGAAATGGCCTATTATGGTTACAATATCAACAGCAAACAGCAAGCTCTTAAGTCTAATCTGAAAAAGCATGAATGAAGTACTCTACCTTGTTGGCTATGAAATCCATGTGCACAGCACCGTGTTCACCATCTTCTTCCTTGTGATCAAGACCAATGTGCAGTCGAACCGCCCAGGACTGACCTGGACTGCAAGAGGGTGACGGCCAAAGTGAGGGATCAGAGGCAGGCGCTAAAGGAAGTGAGGGGGTGACAGGGGTCAGAAGGATGAGCAGCAGGAGGACGAAGGAGGACAGAAAAATCAGTAAGAGGAAAGTAGGCAGATAGAGCTTTGCCATGGCGAGGAAGGGTGATGCACGGGGCCAAAAAGGCGAGTTCTCCTCATTGGAAAAGCGACCTGAACATCAGACAGAGTCAGACAGGGAGAGAAAAAGGTGTCATTAGTGAGGACAATCTGTGAATCAGTGCGCCTTGGTGTTTATCATCTGCATGCTGTATTCAGAAGCAATGTATCAAATTCACAGCACCTTACTAACTGGATGCCATCTGTGTGAGATAAACCCTGTGGTTAAATCAAAGCCTTTGCACCAGTGAGAGACACAGTGCATTCCAACACCTGCAAAACAACATCAATCATACCTGTTGTGGGCGGTTTCTTCTAGCCAAACAACAGGTTGTACTACATGTATGCCTCAGGTTTTTTCACAGAACCAAATAACGTGACAAATCAATCACCAGGAAAACGTCCAGTCTGCGCAAATGTGCGTATGTAACATCTATAACCACATCAGACATACAGCCGAAGACATTACCGATGGCTGTCCTATCGAAAATCTGAATTATGATATTGATAGCCTTAAAAAGGCATTTACGGCTATTTAAATCGTGGCTCTTTCTCTTTGATACGCATTAGCTGTCTTGTCACCCAACAGTACGCTCTCGTGACTTCTTAGTTTTGATTACTTCTTTTTGTTTTGTTTTTATTCAGATTACTAGCTAGCTGTAGGTTTGACCGAGATTTGTTGTATAATTACAGTGTCTGTGAAAACACTGCCACGTACACTCGATAAAATTATAATGTAGTAAGAACAGAAAAAGAAAGAGGAAAAAAGTCAACAACCTGAAGAGGGAGTCGGGTTTCGTTCCCAGCCTCGTTGTTATCATAGCTTAGTAAGCGAGCTAGTTGTCCTGGCGGCTAACGAGTAAGCTCGCTATTCTTTTATTAGATAAAGTAGTACGAATTAGTAGCTGTTTGAAAATGATCTGTAGTCAGACACCTTCAGCTTAGTTTTCCACTGAATCCCCGTTTAGTCCTCTGCCGTTTGTGAAATTCAGGGAACCAAAGGTAATCATCTCATTTCCGTACAACGCTCGAGAAGTCGCTATCTAGGCGCTACGTCACGCGTTGCGCAAAACGTCGTGTGGGCTTCCTGATTGGCCCAGAGCCACGGCGTAAAGCACTGCAGTTAAAACAACAACAGCAAGTTATTCAAAACACTTGGAGCATTTATCGTAATCGAAGATTTATCGTAAGAAATCATTAACAATTTTCCCTCAATATAAAAAAGAAGTGCAATTTCAACAGCATGTCTGTTTTTGTTTTTGTACAAGATAAAAGAATTGCTGCTCTATTGAATGCAAGAAATCTTCTTAGCACTCTTTGTATGGGGTCAGAACGATGGCACCTTGAAATGAAACCGAAAAAAATATTGAAACCGAAAAAAAATATTGTAACGGAAATAAATGTACTGAAAATCTTGTATTGAAACAGAAAAAAATGATAGTGAAAAACAATTAATTGAAACTGTTTTTTCAGTTGCAATCCATTTTTTTTCGGTTTCAATCCATTTTTCGGTTTCAAACCATTTTTTTTCGGTTTCCAATTCAACGATCCAAGCCTCCAGAGCTGCATAAAGGCTACATTTATAACGAGTATCATTACTGCTCATTTAAAAAAACAGAGAGCATAACTCCTTCTCCAGAGTCGGAGCAGTCTTCCACAATAATTGGGTTTGACATATCAGGTTAAATAAAGACTGCTGAGGAGCAAGCATGGCTTGGGCCCACCTCAGAGCTCACCCTTGCAGCAGGATAACCATGAAAGAAATTTTGCACAGTCTAAGGAATAAATTCTCCTTTGTTGATGAAACACTAGGAAACACTGTGAGGAAACCTCCGTTCTTTTCACTGGTAAAAACTTCAGGTGTAGGAAGGGGCCTCTCCAGAGGTACAACCTCCCTGAGCTGTGCTGCTGACCATGCCCATCGTGTTATGACCACAGTATACTCATTTTATAACAGATGTCAATCCAGCAGATTATCTTTGTCATGTGGTGGATCAGGAGATTTGCAACATGGATGCACAGCTGACAAATCTGAAGCAACTGTGTGATGCTATCATGTCAATATGAAACTAAATCTGTGAGGAATGTTTCCAGGTCTTTGTTGAATCTGCGCCACAAAGAATTAAGGCATTTCCGAAGGTGAAAGAAGGTCCAAAACAGTACTGGCAAGGTGTAACTAATGAAGTGGCCAGTGACTGTATTTAGTGTCTAGATGTTTTTTCAGTATTTTATTCACTTAATAGCAGGACAGAATACCACATGACTGTGGCCTTGTGTTGTACCCTTTCTGCTGCAGTGATGCTGCAGACAAACACAAACATCGTAATCAGACATTTAAGAAGAGCCTCTTGAAGATGAAGGTCTGTGTCTCTTGACCTAAACACATAATCCAGTTAAATCTAATTTATGTTCATCAATGCCCCTCACACTGTAACTTAAAGTAATAAATTGGTTACTGATTAATTACAGAAGTATATTTGTGAACTTAAAGATGTAAGCCTTGGACCATCGAGATGAAATGTGGTTGGGAAACTTAACAAGCTTTGATAAAGCTTCATCAGTAGCTCGAGCAAGACCTCAAAACCTTCGCTCACCACGGGTGGTTAGCAGACTGTGGTTGTATCATGCAGCCTAACAACATGCAGTAAATTGCAGGTTAAAGCAGTCTGCTTACACATTGTTAAACGACGGAAGGGAACTAATGTGTCTGTCACATTACTCTTTTGTCCCATTTCATCCCAGGACTCGATTAAATTGCTGCTCACTTTCTACAGTAGGTACTTAAAACTGATCAGTAGGACCTGAAACTGCAAACATTCAAACATTCAGGCCAAGTAAGAATCAGCGGGTGAACGTATTAATCTTCTAAAAGTTTTTGACCAGGAGGTTAAACTCATACAAATTAGCTTCACCCAGGCTCATGAAAACATTTCCCTGCTTACAGATAGCAGATCATTTGTGTCAGTAAGGTTTATATTTGAGCTTCTTGTTCACA